AAAAAAAAAAAAAAAATACCCATCCAAAAAAAAAAAAAAAAAACAAAAAAAACAAAAAAACTGAAAAAAAAAAAACTAAGAATCTATGAAAAAACAAGGAAAAAAAAAAAAAAAAAAAAAATTCTCATACTATTATTAGTATTATTGTTATCACACCCGGCTCCGAAGCCATTTAATCTGTACGGAGCCACTCCGGGTGCGAATAGTTGTTTATGACTATAGGTACCTATGGATGCAGCCATTATAATAACGCTGTAATTAATAGAGTTCTATTATAACATATTCACCACCAAAAAAAAAACAACCTTTTTTATTTTCGGGGAGAGAAAGAGTATATTGGGCTGATGAATAATCAGATGAGAGTTTAAATTGAAACAAAAATTAAAACAACTGTCATGAAGGGAAATAACTGATATCACGTACAGAACATTCAGACGTTTTGACACTAATTTCTACACACTGATATTTAAGGCAGTAGTGCTGTACATTTATCAATGACTAAATTCTATGACATTGCCTTGCGTATGACTAGGTTCTTGTTAAGGCAGTAGTGCTGTACATTTATCAACAACTAAATTCTATGACATTGCCTTAAGTAGGTTCTTGTTACGGCATTATTGCTGTACCTTTATCAATACAATTTCAGGCAAGTCATCACAATGAGAAATCAAGGCACACACATTTTATGCTTTAAATTACTTTTTTAGTCGGACTTCCAAATACTTATTATAAATTACCGTCTCGGTGTTTGGCAATATCGTGAAGGAATTGACACAGCCCCTTAGATGACGTCAATCTTAAACCTGAGCAGCAATGATTCTTTATCGTAGCCTTCATTCTGCCCGTAACCTTTCCCCATCAGGTCCCAGCAGGACAGAACCCCGACGAGCTCCCCCCAGAAGCTGTTGTCTTTGATTTTAGCTTCGTTACACTCCCAGGTGGTGTGTCCCACAGTGTGGTCAGGCAGGATGCACCTCATGTCCTTGATGGTGGCACTGACATCAAGTTTGACGGTCGACTTCAGCGCGAGCCCCACCTCACGAGGATGTCGGCCGTGAACCACCCACACGCTCATCTGGGCGTTGGGCGCAAACTCGGCCACGCCCTTGACGCAGGAGCCCAGCTGTTCGATGTGCCAGGGTGCGCTGTACACAACAGCGGTAGATTTGATCTTGTCTCGAAAGTGTGGCACATAAAAATCACAGATGTAATGTTTCTTTGGCGGAAAGGGGTTAGGGATCCTGTCTCGCAGCAGCTGAACCTCTTTTTCCGTCACATCGAAAATCTCACACTTGATCTGGGTCATTGTGTTCTCCACCTTTTTAGTAGACTCTATCATCTTCCCTTCTAAAGCACTAATAAACTTAGCATTTGAGATGTCAGTGACATCTGCCAGGTAGCTCTTGATCCCGTCCAGTTTTTCAGGAATCTCTTTCAAGTGATTTTCAAGGTCATTGAGTTTGTTTTCAACAGCCCCCGCACGCCCTGATCCTTTCAAATCATCACGATGAGACGCGCCGGCTTGAGATACTTTCGTCCTCTCGCACAGCAACTGAGTGTTGATCATCGCCTCACGCACCTCCTTCCCCACCGTAGACAGTCCTGTATTTAAAAGTGTCTTGATTTGATTGACCTCATCGTCGATCTTGGTCAGCTTGAGGTTGACCTCATTCTGAGTTTTGATTATCTGCTCTCTGATGGATGATTTGTCCTGATCCAGTCTTGCCAGGACGGCATCTCTCATCTCTTTGAACTCTGCTCTCATCTGTTGGATAGATGTGGCTAGCAAACGCTCAAAACTTTGATACAGTTCTGAACCGTCGAGGCCGACTTGTTTATAACTGGAGTCTTCACATTGTTTATAACTGGTGTCTTCACACTCTAGAGGGACAAAAAAATGCATTAGTTACCAAAGGGAAATTGCAAGGGAAAAGCATCAAGACCTTTTTGTCCTTGAAATTTGAGACATACATTTATAAAAATGTTTTGTGAAAATAATTCACAATTTTATTTTATTTTATTTTTTTATTAAAAAATACAGAGACTGTCAATTATTTGTGGCAAATTGCTTATAAACTAAATAGCCTGTTATAAAAAAAGCAAGAATTAAAAGTGGCAAGTCATTTTTATATTAAAATCAATTAAATTTTTTTTTTTTTTTTACCTTTCATTGACGTATCATCTATATTTATAAATGAAGCTGATGGATTACTGCTGATTGAACTCGGCTCGGAAATCTGAAATAAGAAAATAAATGGATTAAACTTTTTATAGAAGCATATTATTTCTGGTTTACTGATTAAAACTAATGTATTTGTTCAACAACAAAAAAATTGAGTATATATCAATAAGCAATGATTACTTGATGGCTATCTCTTGACTGAAACTTGATCTCCGACAGCTTGAGTTCAGCTTGAAGGAGACTGAAATACTCATCCTTGGTTAAGCCACTGGCCTTGGCTTGCTCCAGCTGCTTGAGGAGTTCCATTGCTTAAAGCTGCCAAAACAAAGGGATAATTAATTTCATTACAAACTGCAAAAATTAGAAACTTTTCTTGTTTTAATGCTTTTAGGAAAATAACTAAATTTAAAAATGGGGTTCTATTTAGACTTAGAATTGATGCATAATTAAATGCCAAATGAATTTAACTTAAATGGTTTCTCTGATAAAAGAACAACTTTATTATGCAAGCACAAGAATAGCAAAATTATCGATGCAGATATCGCAGCTAATCTAATGGCCCCAAAACAAGTGTGCCGCAAATTAGCCAGAAGAAAACAACGTCTGGCCATCAGTGGTGACCAACTCATAGCTTCCTCTGGAGCCTGCGAGAAGGGCTCATCAGACGAAAAAATGGTAAATGCAGTATTAGACCTTCACACACCTCATACAGTCACATCGAGGCAGAGTGGTCCTTCAGTGGATACCTGGACACGCTGGATTACCCTAAAACAATAAAGCTGACTATCCAGCAAGGCAAGGGTCTGACCAGCCACATACAAAAAATCGGCCACTAACCCAACTGAGGGATTAAGGACAGGTTGAAAAAGCTCTTCCGAGATGAGTGGTTAAAGAATTGGGAGAACGGCGAGATGGCCTGTAAGCTTTACCAAAAGAACGCCACACCCAAACAGGAAAGGGAATCAATGATGGGGATTAAAATGTGAGAACCAGATGAGAATAGAACACTGTCCTACTCAAAGAAATTTACTTGAACAAATTACATCCTCTCCAGGACGAGAGCTGCTGTCTCAGTGGACAGGCGCCAGAGAGCTGCTGTCTTTGTGGACAGACACCGGAGATAGTAACGAGTGCCCACTACTAATGAGTGGAGGGGTCAGTAACACCCCAGACATCCACACACTAGGTCTGATTTCAGGTGATGCCCAGCAGATGTGGCACGCCAGTAAAGTTCTCGCCGGGGACATAAAAGAGCAATAGCTTGGTCCCTAAACAGAATGTAATATTATGCAAGCACATGAGGATCTACATAACGTAGCATTTGCTTTTTTAATATATAAAATTTTGGTGTGTTTTGAAATGTTAAAAATGCATCACAGATGCTGCAGCAATCATCAATTTTACAATCACTAATATTTATAGCTTATAGCTTATAGTTGCAATTTTGTAATTTACTTGTATAAGTAATATAAGTTGACTTATTATATTTCATTGCTATTTTCATTGCTAAGATTGTTTGACATGTAGTTTATAAATATGGGTTAATCATCTCCTATGAGCACATTTTATATGATAAGGTATTTTGTTTGTTTGTTGAAGAGCTGGGTTACAAATGAGTTTGATATGTCCCTTCACAACATCATATGTCCTTTCACAACAAGATAAGTCCCTGCTTTTATTTTAATTTCTACGTCCCATAATAAATTTGACCAAATTCAAATCATTCAGTCGGCTATGCACTGAGTGTGGGAATAAATATAGTCTTTTCTTTCTTTGGTCGGCTTAAAACTAAGACAAAATTCTCAATATGCTACTTAGAATTCTACTTAGATTTAGGATTTCCATATGTCCTGGTTTTACTTTGAATGTCCCAATTTAGAAATCTTTTCCCAGTCAGTTTTGCATTTGGTCCTGGTTTCAATCTCAGTTTGGTAAAGATTAATTAGTTCTGTCAATGTTATAACGTCTAGTACTGGTACATGTTAAAATAAAACATTTTTGATACCGCATCAGAATAAGTTAAAATTATGATTATTAACACTGTCAAGCTGTAAGACTGTAAAAAGCAAAATGTTTTAAGTCTTGAATTAGTACACATGTAAATTTGAGACCTTTTTGAATATGAGCATTTGTTCATTTGCCTCTTTTGTTAAATGTACTACCTGCAACCTATGACCCCCCCCCCCGCAGAGAACACGGGTCTAACTGTCCAAGTCAAGCTGTAAAACTGTAAAAAGCAAAATGTTTTAAGTCTTGAATTAGTACACATTTAAATTTGAGACCTTTTTGAATATGAGCATTTGTTCATTTGCCTCTTTTGTTAAATGTACTACCTGCAACCTATGCCCCCCCCCCCCCGCAGAGAACACGGGTCTAAATGTCCAGCGACCGGACAAATAGTGCAGGAGATATTCATCCGGCGGGCGTGTCACGCTTGATTTAACATTGTCCCTTTTTAACCATTTGTTCATTGTATATGTGAAAACACGAAATTAAATTGAATTTAATAGTAAGTTTAAAACACTTTTAGTAATAAGTGAAAATAAAAAAAATAGTACTCTAAAAGTATGTATACAGTCAGTAAATGACTATCTTGCAGTTAAAAACAAAACAAAAAAAAATACAATTTATAAATAGTTTAAGAGCTTTGTCATATACTGTAACATATATTTTAAAAGAAAAAAATTTCAAACCACATAGTAGGATAGTTATTTTAACTTCAACCCTAATATTAATACTATTAAACATATACAATATTACAAATAAAGGAAAAATTATCAATTTGTCACTCAATAAAAACTAAGTCCTTTTTGCTAATGGCAACATTTATTCATTTTTTAAGCAGTCTTCCCAGACCACGTTTTGCTCTTTGGATCAGACTTTAACCCGACACACTTCCTATCCTACCAATTTAAACAGTGGTCACAGCATATAATTAAAGCATTTACGACGGTCAAGTGACTTGGCCGCCAGACAAATATCCCAAGAACTTATTGGTCAGGTCGTCGGACATTTAGATTTAGACTTTAGACACTTCAAAAATTTAATTTCAAGAAATAACTGATTTATCTTCTCATGACAATAAAAATATAATAAATGTTCAAAAACTTTGGACAAAAAGGCATTCCTTAAAAAGTTCAAAGTAGATAAGTGAAAAATATGAATATTAATATTATGAAATTATGAATATCCTTTCTCTCTTTTCGAACCATGCATATTTTATTTCAATGTCATGATTATGTCTCTTTTGATAGCATTTTTATGTACAGAGGAGTGAGCCCAGCCCTAGTCTGGGGTACCGCGCTATATAAATATAAGACCTCTTACTCTTATTATTATTATATTTATATAATTATTAATATTAATAATATTAATAAATACCCAGTTAGTTAGGTACCTTGACTCAATGAAGCCCAAGGCAAAATTCCAAAATTGTGACCCCTACAACTTATAAATTATATAGGCATAAGCCTACGACCTACAATTACATTCTACAACTAGTAAAATAACCTGAACTAGTTACTATTATTATTATTATTACTAGTTTAACGAGTTAAAAATAGCTTGTTGTGTTGACAACAGAATATAATCTCTTTAACTAAAGAGCATACCTTTACTTTCTTTAAACTTGTACTGGTATTGTTAAGTCAAATTCTCTTAAATATAGCTATATAGGCAATATAGCCATTATCATCACTAACCTTACAGTGTTATACGTTTTTTAAAGCCTTACAAGTTTTCCTGGATAAAATTGGTGTGTTTTGATTTCGCTTCGTCAGCTGCTTGGCTGTGGGATAGGGCAAGTACATAGCAGTTTAAAAATTTAGGTGTCTAAAATAAATTGTAACGCATTATATTATTACAGGAATAGGCCTGTTACTATTAGTTTTAATTTCATTTGTGTGATGTCGCATAATCAGTCATCTTTTTTTTTTTATTATTAGATGCCAAAATCTCTATCTCCACAAGAAGACGTAAATACAGACGTAAACTTAATTGTAATAACCATTTACGAAAATGTCTGAATATCAGAATAAAAATGTTTAAAAAAATTATTATTTTTTTTTTTTTTTTTAAATCGCCTAGACCAGTAGTTCTCAACCTTCCTAAAGTCGCAACACTTTAATACAGTTCTTCGCGTTGTGGTGACCCGCAAGGCCCCAACCATAAAATTATTTTCGTTGCTTCTTCTGCATAAATCTGTGTTTTCCGATGGTCTGGGGCGACCCCGGTGTAACTTATACACTGTAAGGGTCGTTCGACACTCAAAGGGGTCGTGACCCACAAGTTGAGCATCGCTGGTCTAGACGTTAACTATACTGGTTTTAACTCAGGATGAAGTGAAAAAAAAAAAGAAGTTATTAACACAGATTTTATTTAAGACTGTCTGTATCTTAAGTGAATGTGCGACTAAGAAATGGGAACAATTGAATTTTTTTTTTTAAATTCAATTTTTAGAGTTTTTTTTTTTTTTTTTTAACCTTAAATTTCAGTTTTAACAAACTTCCTTTCGAACAAATTTCCTTCAAACACATTTTTGGGGATTTTTTTTTAAATTTTGGATTTTTTTTAACCTTAAATTTCAGTTTGAACAAACTTCCATTCGAACAAATTTCCTTCAAACACATTTTTGGGGATTTTTTTTTAAAATTTGGTGAGGAGTTGGGGGGCAAGGGGGGCAGGGGGGGTGACTTTCAAAGGAAATCTGACTGGACATTCGTAGCAGTGTTAACATGTAAATTTCAAAAGTGACCAAAACGCAGATCCATCCATGAAATAGACACTGCTAACTTAAACGATATATTGAGAATTTTATCAAGTTGGCGGGGCTGGATGTTCCCATACTTTGATATTATAATCTGGGCCAAATGACCAGCTCCAAGCTTACTAACATGAAGCGTCAAAATAGTCTATGCTGGTTGTGTCTAGCCATGCACCTTACAAAAGATATGGTCATTGCATAGATATATTATGGCCTGCTATGCTGGTTATGTCTAGCCATGCACCTTACAAAAGATATGGTCATTGCATAGATATATTATTGCCTCCCATGCTGGTTCTGTCTAGCCATGCACCTTACATGGACCTTACAAGAGAAAGGGATAAGCTATACCCTTTTAAAAATTAATAGTTGCAGAGAGTAGATTCATCCTAAGACCTAAAGAGGTCATCGCTTTGACCTTTACTTTCATTTGGTTGGCGTGATTAAGCTTTGAGATTAAATGTAAACCAGGAGAACCATTCAACTAATTCCATTTTTTTGTTAAAATATTGTTTACATAATTTGCACACTTTGGTTTTGTTTAAAGTACTTCCTAAGCAGGACTGGGGTGGGGGGCGGTGGGGGGGGGCGGTGGGGGGCAGAGGCAAGTCATCAGGGGCGTGGAAAAAAGTAATAAAATTCTTACCCCACATGACCCCTTACCCAAAATATTTTGTGCAGCTGGCAAAACATGCCACACATAATAAAAAAATGTGGGGGTGGTGGGATGTCCCCTTTATGTTGAGTATTAGAGGCAGGCTATACGCGATTTTTAAAAAAAATAGTTGTTTATCAATAATTGCCTCCCCTTAATTGAAAGCGGTCGATATTTAATAACTGTTATTTTTGCATCTCTTGAAAAATAAAAAAAAATATAATTTTCAAGTTTGGCAAATATAAAAAAAAATTTTGTGTGAATATTATCATGTCAGCATATTCGTTTTTATATAGATAGTTATTTAAATGAGGATGGTTTGAGACTAAGAGCCAGAATGATCAGCTCATTGATCGTGGGACCTCAAAATATAGGAGAAGACGAAGGCTATGAATATAATAAATCTGAGTGTACATATTTAGCAGATAGTAGTAGACAGGGCCGGCGTAGGGGCTGATGAACGGGGGCGACCGCTCAAGGCCCCGAGCTTGTAGGGGCCTTGTGTCCGGCCGTTATATTATAAATATAGCCAGGACTTGGACATGATGATGATGATGATCCCTCCAAGCTCAAGAGCGAGAAGAATCTAAAACAGGTGTTATCAAATCTGGCCCACGGGCTACACGACCATTGGAAATGGCGTGCCTACGATTTCCGATAGTAAAATAAAATTTAAAAAAATAACCATATACATTTTGAAATCAGCCTTACGGGTCTTATGCTAAAATAAATATGGGCTCTTCAACAGCCACACTATGACCCGTAAAAGTGGTCCCGGTCTTGAAAGGGGGTCTTAACTCCTAAGGCAGTTCAACCGACATTTAAATCAAATCACTGCATCGCATTCACCAGTCAATCATATGACTGCTTTTGGTCATCAGTCAGTTTTGTGTTCAAACATGAGCCGTTCATTTGCTGCAGCAGTGGCATAGCGAGGGTGTTTGGCGCCCGGGGACAAGATTCGCGCCCGGGGACAAAATCCATTTTTAGCGCCCCTTTTTCTTTTTTTCAACTCTAAAACCCATTATTTTCATCAATAAAATAATATCAAAGCACATTTTTGGCGCCCCTAAGTAGCTGGCGCCCGGGGACATCTGTCCCTCCCCTGCCCCCACCACGCTACGCCTCTGTGCTGCAGCGACGAAAGTAAAAAAAAAAAAAAAAAAAATATTCGTTTTGAAAGAAACAGAAATCTTAACGAGAGTAGGGTGATTTGCTTTTGCGC